TATATATATATATATATTAGATTTCGTTTGTTTATAGTTTGATACGGACAATCCAACTATCCACAACTCACAAATCAGAATGAACATTTCAAGATTTTTACTAACTTTTCAATCATTTTTTAAATATAATAGCTGTATTACATAATCTTCAGCCATTTTTTTACAATATCCAGATGACAGTCTCTCTCTTTTCATCATATAAAACAAATAGAAGATCATTCTTTATTACAAACTAAACAAGTTTTTTTTTAAAAAAAAAAACTAAACAAGTTTTTTTTAATAAAAAAAGAGGGAACAGGTAACTTTTAAGGTTTCTTTACAAAATGCAATTTAAGAAAAAGTTTAATTGGTCCACGTAATCGTTCACTTTTCCAATATAAAATTGAATAATGACCGGCTCTCGAATTGGGCCCCACTTCTCTTTACCCTTTTTGCCCTTTTCCTCATCCCTTCTCCTCCCCTCTCTTTCTTAGCCTCCGAATCATGTTCCTCTGCTTTGGCTAACACATGTGCTGGTTTTCTTCATCGCTTTATCCTCTCTCCGGTGTCTTATAACCATCTTGTGCCCGCAAATTGCATCTGGTTTCGCTTTCTTTCAAGCCGACCGGTCTCGATTTCTGGGGAGAGCTTCGTGTTTCTGCATCTGGGTTCGTCTAATTTGTGGGTTTCAAGCGTCTAGCTTCGTTGCTCGTCGTTGGGTCTGTGATTTTTTTTTTCCTTTAATTTCGTGTGATGGATGGCTTATTTGTGTGAAGTTTGCGACTTTGGAATCTGGGTTTTGTGAATTTTAGGGTGAAATGATTGCTTGAATAGTGTGAACTATATGATACTTTTGGAAGAGTAGCTATAGAGAATCAGTGAGATAGATAATTTGGGGCTTGGGTCTGAGAATTCTGGTTGTAAAAGATTGTGATGAAGAGAGGGAGAGATGATGAGAAGATGATGGAGCCGTTGTTTCCTCGGCTTCATGTGAATGATGCAGATAAAGGGGGCCCAAGGGCTCCTCCTAGAAACAAGATGGCTCTCTATGAGCAACTTAGCATTCCTTCTCAGAGGTTTAATCATCAGGGAACAGTGCCTCCTGGATCCTCCAATCAGGTATTGCCTCGTTTCCAGTTCTTAGATGGACCTTGTGGATTTTGGTAATGGATTTTCTTGGGGGTTTTAAGTTGATAGATGACGATGATTTAGTCTGTCGGTGTAGTGATGTTGTTGTTGTTTCGTGAATCACCATTAGCTCGTAGTTAATTCTCTGTACACAAATTGTGATTCCTTTAGGTATTCTGTGTCTAGTTATCATATATATCTCAAGAACAATTGATATGAATTTTCATATTCATTTGTAGCTACCCTTAATGCGTACAAGATTTCTTTGACCTTCCAAAGTTTCGCGATGCTACTCGTGATTGGTTCGATCACTTCAGGTTGTTGGATGGTAGAGTACTTGAGGACAAGAATTATGCTAATGATTTCTCCTCTTTTTTTTCCTTGCAGACTCGTAGCATGGAAAGAAATCTATATTTCCAACATCAGGTGTCTACTTCAGTTCCTGCTCACCCAGCGGAAAAGTTTGTTTCCCAAAAGTCATGTCCAGAGACTGTAAGATCTTTCACTCGGCATGATCAGAGGCAAATGGTTGGAGAAGAAGATGATTTCATGGTTCCAGTGTTTCTCAACTCAAGAAGAGAGCAATCTCATGATGGAACCAAGAGCAGAATGGACAAGGAAAAACCTCGTATAGTGGCAACTGGTGGTAATCGATCAGTTGAAATCGAAGAAGTGACTGGAAAGGACCCTAAGCAGAATGGTTCATTATCCACAAGTTCTAGACAAGAGGTTAGAGACCCAAGTAAGGAGAACCCAAGACAAGGTGCCTCAAATTATTCTTTAGATTTATCACCTAGAGAACTAAGAGAAGCTATAGACGTGAGAAAATCGGCGTCAAAATGTGACACAGTGAGTGATGCTCACCCGAGACAAGAGGCCAGAAATAGGTTGAATCAAGAGGCCGATAATGGAGTTGAGTCCCAGTTGGGAGGTGGGTCTCTGCAGGAGAGAGATGGAGAGGCGAGTGATGGACTCTCTGAGACTTCCATGGTGGATTCCATATCAAGTGCAGATGTCTCTCCTGATGATGTGGTGGGAATAATAGGTCAGAAACGTTTTTGGAAAGCAAGGAGAGCGATTGCCAAGTAAGTACAACAATACCAGAGATCGACAAACTTGCTTATTTCTTTATCTGTTCTTGCCATTCATCTCTTGTTTTATTACATTATTAATTGCTACCTGCTAGTAGTCTAACCACTGTAGGATTGTGATTTTCACAAAGGATTTCAGTAGCGCATTCATATTATCGAATTCTAGTTTTATAAAAGATCGGTCTTTTTGCTTCAGAAGTCGGTTGTTCTGTGGTCAGAGGCCCCGGATTCCTCCAATCGGTATTTCTTTTATACGTTTAGTTGAAGAGCCCTCGGTAAGATATTAACACTTTTAACATGTTGGATCATGTTATAGCAGGGAGGGGAGATTCCTTATTGACGTGCATTGTGCATGGTGACCCACCGAGACAGTTTCATTCATGGCTTTGTAAAAACCGTCGTGTCTTCTTCTTTGCATCTGCTTGTTGGAATATGTCCCCTGTCTCGGTTTGGTTGGTATTGATTTTTTATTCCCGCAATGTCGTCTTGGGGGCATTTTCCCTTCTTGTCTCGTTCGAGGGCTTGAACCAGGTAGGAGATATATGTCTTGGAGGAGGATTCTGGGTTCTAATCTTAGTTAACCAGTCTTCATGTTCGATGTTTTTCTCTTACACCTTTATACTCTTTATCTTCACATTTCGATATATATTCGTGAGTAACATTATGTAGTTCCTCAAGAACTAGGGTAAGGTTTTTCATGGCTTGTGTTCTTGGAACTGTGCTTAAATGTTTCTTAATGTTTGGTCATCTTCTTGATGGAACTCCATTACTCTTTACAGTCAGCAAAGAGTATTTGCAGTTCAAGTATTTGAGTTGCACAGGCTGATTAAGGTAAATCATTTCACTGAACACTCTCTTCAATGGCTTTCGGATGACGATGCTCGTTGTTTTCGGGAAAAAGAAAGCGAGTTTTTGTAAAAGTTTTTCGGCTGAAGTAACGGCAACTTCCTTTCCTTTTTATTCTGTACAATTTTTTACAGGTTCAGAAACTTATTGCTGCATCACCACATCTATTGCTTGACGATGGAACTTATCTCGGAAAATCTTCTCCAATAAAGAAGCTTCTTCCAGGAGAAGAATACATAGTGAAGCCTCTCCCGCCCGTCAAGGATGATTCCAAGAAGGATAACCAACACGAGATTGAGTGTTCCGCTGAGAATGCAGTTGGGAGAATGAGGAGCATTTCATCCGGTAAGAACAATGACAACAGTCATCAGCAGCAGCAACAGCCGCCTTTGAATTACACCCCTTGCGTCCCACCGGTTGCTCCGGCAGCAACCACCAAGACCCAGATGGCTGCAACCAGTGGTGGGCAGTGGTGCTTTCCTCAGCCTCCTGCGGGGAATCACCAGTGGTTGATCCCTGTAATGTCCCCGTCCGAAGGGCTTATATACAAACCCTACCTGGGTCCAGGGCTCACGGGTTCGGGCTGTGAAGGATACTACAGTCAGTTCATGCCTGCTCCAATGGCGGTGAGCAACTTCATGGGTGGTCCACCGGTTTATGGCATGCCCGCCCCTCCTCCGCCCAATGGGTTCCAGTCTCCTGGTCCTGGTCCCGGGCCAGGGCCCGCTTATTTACCTCATTACGCCGTTCCCTCCATGAACGTGAATTTCTCCGGCCAACATCATCATCACCATCATCATCACTCTGAGCAAATGAATCAGTTGGTTCATCCGAACACTCCTTCTGCAACCATGAGTGCTCAACAACAGAGCTCGTGTAACTTCCCGAGCTCCAACAACAACACCAATGTCGCTGCCACAACGCAACCACAGCCGCAATCGCGATTGGCAAAGCCACGTCCGCGGAAGAGGGAAAGCAACAGGGTGCTACAAGGAAGCACCGGTAGCAGCCCCGGCGACTCAGGGAATGCCGTTCGTCTCTTTCCGACTGGTGAAAACAATCGGGGAAGCTTGACCATGACCATGACTACGACCACTGCCACGAAGGGGGCGGCGGCTGGGATTGGGACGAGAGTGATAAAGGTGGTGCCGCACAATCCGAAGGCGGCGAGCGAATCGGCGGCGAGGATTTTCCGATCAATACAAGAAGAGCGTAAACAATACGAGTCCTCTTTCTGATGATTGCTACTCTCTGTCTCTGATGGATTTGCATCAGATTTGTGCTTTGTTATCTCGTCGTGTGCTTGTGATGCTTTTTCGTCCTCTTTTTAATAGATTCTTGAATTTTTAATTCGGAATTTTAAATAATTAGAAAAACGTTGCTTGTTTTGTGTCTACGCTAACTTTTTTTTATCATCCCGAATTTTGTAAAATTTAAAAATAAAATATAAAAACATGGAATGTCATTAGGGGGGAAGTGTAGAAGGGCGATCCTGACTTCCCCCCTTTCCTCTTCAAGGTTCGCAACTTCTCCTTGTGTTCTTTGGAGTGAAGCATGCTTGTTATCCGGTTCGGTTACAAGTTTGGGAATATTCATTCCCCCCGAAGTTGAACCGGATTTGGAAGAATTTCCGCAACATCTTTTTTTTTGTTATGTTAAGGAAGAATATTCGTTTGATGATTTCGGTTTTCAAATTAGAGGTTTGGCAATTTCCTACCCGGTTTGGTTAGGGTTTAGGGAAATTCTTCCCAATCAAAATTACAAGTCCACCTCCGATTTTTATTTTATTTTTATAAACTTTAAATAAGAAGATGAGAAGAGGGAACATGCACTGTATCTACATTGACATTACCTTTTTCATGAGCCTTTTATACATTGTAAACAATACCATATTAAACAGAGATAAGATGAAAAGAAAGCTATTGAACAGGTGGAAGATAGATCATGAACCATATACAAATCGGCATTTTTGGATGCAAATATTAAATAATATATATATATATATATATATATATATATATATATATATATATATGCATCA